ATGATTTAGTGAGTAAGAGAAAAATTAGACATTTTTGTTGATTTATTGGTTTGGGGGTTGAGAGGTTAAGGGAATGCTGTGCTATTTCTGATTTAAAGCTAATGTGAAATCATCTGTGTTATTGTTAGAATGGTTAAAGAGAGGCTGTGGTTCTTTACTTTGTCCTTTATCTAACCTATAGTGAACATCGTTGACAGATGGAGGTAACCTGCTGTGTTTGAATGACTTTACTTAAACCTCATGTGAGGGAAACTGAGCATTAAATTTCACATGAGCGAAAGCTTCAGTGATTAATCTCACATTAAGATTCAAAAGTCATTTGCTTTTTGCTTTTTCTATATATCTTGTGTAAACTTATGATAAATTAGGCACTTGGACACATTTAATCACCCTGCCTGTAGGGCCTTCTAGGTACTTAGCAGTATCATAAAATATCTTTAAAAAGGTTGACATCAAAATGTGCAAAAACATTTAGATTTTCCATCAAACTTTTGACGTTGAAAAAATGCGTGAACAGAAGGCAGACCAATTAAAGACAATGACAATTCAAATTGACTTGGGCTTCTGATCGTGTATTACCTCTAACTAATCCAATCATAATTAAAACATTTAATGATGGTTTATTTACTGGAAATCTATCTCTCGGCCGCAATAAGAGTGACACAGTGAATGGAACTTTAAAGTGAGGCGAAATAGTTATTTTACTCCTTTTTTGTCTCTGGTGAGTGTTCAGGATTATTTGAATGTTTATTTGAAGTTATTTGAAGTTCTCCAAAAGTGAGTTAAAGAAAAAAACATGAATGTCTCTGTTTTCTGCGTGTCACGCTGCCACATTTTCCTGCACGAGGTCCATGAATAATCTACTAGTCTGTCATACAATTGTGTCAAATGGACCTGTTCTAGACCTTTACTGTGTGACATTGCTGCTGGTAATTGACTCAGGTTCTGCAGCTCTACTGATAAGACGGCGCCTGTGTAAAGGAACACCAGTGTTATTGATCAGCTTCTGAAATACCTGAAGAACAAAATCCTTCAAGTTCTAAATATCTTCTTCAAACAAGGGCAGCAGAAAACATTTGCCCTGGAGAAGCAGTTCACGTCGTGGTTGAGTATGAAAATGCTGATTTATTGATCTCTTCTTAGCAGCAGTGTCCCTGAACACGGTGCTGCAGCGATCGCATTCAAAATCAAGCTTCAATATCAGTGTTCCTCAAAAGTCAGAGATTGGAAAAAATTCAGATAATAAATATTTATAATTTTTTAATAAATTATACAGTTGTTGAGGTTTTACAGAATTTAATAAATCGAACTGTTATTTAGTCATTAACTAGAACATGACCTTCACAGCTGATGATGTGCATCTGCTTATTGTCAAACTTCTTGTTTTATTTATCTGAGTTTCCCTCCTTTGTCATCTGTTGGTATTGGTCACCAAACCTCTAAAATGAGAGTGGGCCAAAGTGTGGTGTGGCAGAAAAAAAATTGATGGCACGACCTTGATAACCTTCTTTGCAAAGACACAATCAGGGTCTCAGAGTAGAACAAATCAATCACGAAGCTCTATCTTCACCAATGACTTTCTGTTGCTTCTGTCTGGTCACACGATGTAGAACAAACTGATTAAAAAAAAAACATGTTTATCCCTGAGCTCTTCGTTCTCTTGGTGTGACGCCCTGTTGATGTTGGACAAATTGCCAATTGAGCGATGCTAATGATACTGTAAGTTGAACCACGTTTTAATCAGAGTCAGGGTTTTACTCCCCCGCTGCAAAGCCTGGCTCAAGGACATCTGGCAACTCATTCAGTGTCTCACACACAGTCAACATCAGACGAACACTCAGGTGTGAGAGGCTATAAAATGTGTTTAAAAGGCGGCAGGTTGCTATAAATAAATAAACCAGGTTTGTTGATGAGTTAGCTACAGAGTTTCATTCATATATAAAGTTGTTGTCAATGACATGACAGGAGAGATATGTATTATCTCCATATATTTTTACCCCATAAACAGAGGAAAGTCAGAACCAGCTGTAAATAATAAAGAATTTAAAAGAAGAGCCAATATCATTTTACTTCTGAAATCATATTATTTAATAAAATAATACAATTAACTAACACTTTTGTTGTGTTATATATTGCACATTATTTACATTAGTGGCATATAATAATATAAAACATCATTACACATTACATGCAAATATAATTCAATAAAGTTCAATATAAGAGCTATTATCAGGATACATTTAGCCATACAGAAATTTAGTTTATTAAATTCATAAAAAATTAATATTATTGAATCATCTTCCACTCATCATTTAGTGTTATCCTTTTAACCAGAGATAAAGGTCCAAAGACGCAGATCTCTGTCTTTTTGTGCTCCAGGCTCAGATTTACATCTTTATGCAGTAGATTCAACATTTACTCAGAGGCTAAAAGCACCAGCACACACAGCTGTTATCAACTGCGGGATTACATTTGGAAACAATTAGGAAAACCTGTTAGACACAGGGTCACCATAGGGTCACCACAGGGTCACCCCGACTATGATTGACTCTACTGTGAATAGTTTCTCAAGGTTAAAGGTTTCAATATTTATTGTTATATTTACAATGACAATAATGTTGCATTCACATGTAGGAGTAAGACAGCTGTGCTTGAGGCATAAATAAAGAAAGAAAAGCTACATATACATTATAGAATTACCATATACCATGTGATTAAAAAATGTAAATATATGCAAATATTTATGTAAGTACCGGTATGTTTCCAGGAGTTTTATCCTCCATACTTCTAATTAACTGGAGTGTCAGTTAAACCTGTTAACTGTTATGTCCAGGTCCAACTGGAGAGTTGAAAAAACATGGCTCGCCAGAAACCAAAATACCAACAGAAAGCACATAACATACATATTCAGGATTAATTTGAAAAAATAAATTATAAAAATAATAAATCAAACAACATGCATGACCTTTTATTTCAATGTGGTTCCATCAGGTCTCTCCCAGCAGCAGGCAGAATCTGACTCTGGCATAAGTAGAGAACCAACCAATCAGCTCAGAGAATCTACCTGAAGCTGCTCTTGCACTTCAATCACACAAATGCAACTGACAATCTCGCCCACACACGTAGTCACAACACAAAAACACTGCTCGATGAATAGGTTTTCTTAATCAAATTTCTGTCAAAATGTTGCTGTTTGTAAATTAAAATAAAAAAATCAAATGGGGGGGGGGTTCTTATCCTCAACTGTAGACTATTAATGGTCCAGTATTTGGTGGAGGAGTTCAGGAAGTAAAGGAAAGAGCCAAATTAAAAACAGTTAGATTGCTCGTCGCCCAGTTAAAGTCATAATGCATCTCCCTGGTGATGGTAGAACTCCATTAAGACTAAAGAACCCTGGGCATGTGTAATTAAGTACTGGGGGAGAAGAAGCTGGGGTAAGTAAAAAAAAACAGACTGTATCTACTCTATCCCACCATCCTGCTCACTCTTTTGAACAAATTCTATCTACCTTCCTGCCAAACTGCCTCCAGTAATTTGATTTTAATATGATTCCAAAGAATCAAGCCAAGGCTCAACCTGCTGCTTTTTATTTATGAAACCTCAATCTGCCATCTGTCCTGGGATCTGAATCTACCAAAAGACAACATAGATGTATTACTCTTCTGCTACACAGTATCAGATACTCCCAAGTTCTCAACCCTTCCGTCGCAGGAGCAGTATGTTAATGTCTTCCACTCAGTTTCAGGTGATGTGTGTATGATGTTCTCACATAAATCAGGTCATTTGGACTAAAAATCCAACAAAACTTTCAATCATTAACGTCACATGAAATAACATTAAATCATTTCTTGACATTATATAAAAATCTCACTTAGAACCATGATTATATTTGAATCTTTCCAAAGGAATAATGTTAGTTATCTGTGTTTGCTGTGTGTGAATAAGCCTGTCTTTATGTAACAGCAGTTGTGGGAAGTGTCAGTGTATAGAGTACAACACTGGTTCTGTTATTTATAAATGTAAACAACGGACCTAGAGCACACAACCCCACACTAATAGAAATAAATAAATAAAATGAATCTCTTATTCGCATTTATTGAAGATCCTGCCAAGATTTCTGAGCAGCAGATCAGCAGGGTACTGCTATATTTGCAGCAATATCTTGACCTGTGAGTCAAAATGTATAAAAATATCCCACACACACAACATATAAGTTTGAGCATGTGATAGTTTGACTTTGACCTACAGTAGAGTAGGCAGAGTGTTGCTTCACCACAAGTGGAAAATGAAATAAGATGTAAAACATTAACTAGAAGTGATAATTAGTAAAACAAATCTGATTAAAATCAACATATTGTTATAATTATTGGCAGAGCCACCTTCCAACCTTGAAACATTCCTCTAATACAGCAACTCATGAAACACATGAGCCTGTATGTATTTATATTTGCTAAAATGTCAAAGGAAATAGTCATTCACCAATCTTTATTGTATAAAAAAACTCCCACTCAAAAAAAAAAGAACACTTCAAATCGCCAACACATTTTTTCACCCCCTAGTGGCGGCTTGCACACCACACTTGGGGAACCCCTGCTCTGATAGTTAAAACCACCAACTCTATAAAACTAAATTTCAAGATATACTTTATTTATTATTTGAGATCTTCACTCTTAATAATTCCAGCGCCTCAATTAGTCACAAATACAAACACAACAACATCCTTCAAGGGTCACCACAACCAGCAGACTTACTGTAGTTATGACAACTAGATAATAGGCATGACTAACAGAGTACCGAAGTGATCCAATTCACACAGACAAACCAAATAATCAAGTTTAGTCAGGATGAAAAAAGGCAGACAAGAGTAAACAAGGAGAACGGATGGATCAGTGACCCAGATGGTTGGAAAACACAAATCAAACTGGGGCAGGAATATTAACGAGACACAGGTGGAACACATCAGTGAGACCAGGGTAATCATCACAGAGGTGTGGGACACAGAGGAGCAGGTACAGCCAGGTGATGCAGGGGTGAGGCAGGGAGTGGAGAGTATGTGTAGAGAGACTCAGGAGAGGTGAGGTACAAAAACTAAGAGAGGAAACAAAGACAGTGATACAAAAGAGTTGAAGATTTCTCTGGTGAAGTTGGCTGTGACACATGTCGCTACTTAGTGACCAAAGTCTGACTCTGCAGCTCCACTGAGTCGACAGACGACACGCGCCTTCAGCAGAGTAGAATGATGCGCCACTAGGAAGATAACTTGACACCCAGCAGTACTTGGCAAGCTCCTGTGGTAAGTCCGTCCAAAGATGTTATGTAACTGTCACTGAGAGAGAGCTCCACGTTACCTGGGGCCAAAATTGTCTATGTTTCCATCAGTGCCAAGTGTAACCGCACTTACAGTGTCTGTGGGTTTTAGCCTGAGCTTTCTACACCGCTCTAACATTTAGGTTCTCTGGTTCTCTTCCAGATGACAGCTGCAAAGTCATTAGAACACATCGCAAGAATGGTTGCCCTTCTTCTCAGGGAGTGACGCAACTGCGTGATGTCATCAGGAGTTTAAGGTAACGGCTAATTGGCTGTTATAAAAATATTTCACTGTTCAGTCCAATTTTTGCTTTTTCTCAGCAATATTCAGAGCCATTTAAAATGGTACTGGTTTAACATATTAGCATTATGTACATGAGGACTGTGTCAAGCAATAATATGGTACAGTATGAATATATTTTTAAAGTGTTTATATATATATATAGTATAGCAGTGTTTGTGCAGTTATTGTCAATAGTTGTGCAAAATTATAGACTGCCAAACATTTCCGTTCTGCCAACGTGGAAATAAAAGTTTTTTATTTATTTAGGGAAAACTCATTTTATTAATTTAAGATGTCATTGTTATATATTTATATATGTTGTTATATATTATAACAATATATTATTATTGATATTATTATTATTTATTTTCCAGGCTAAGAAAAACAAAATGGAGGTCCTACAGTCTGAACCAAAGTCTCTGAATAGCATAAAGTGTCGAGGTTAGTCTTGCTCATTTCCACTTCTATATATTTCTCTATTCATAATAATAAATTACTTTTATGATATGGGATTTCCTGCCATTCACTATTAAAATTATAAAATCCTATTATTACCAGAACTACATTTAACATCTACAGTAAAACTGGAATTTAATGGAATCATTTGCCTTTGTTAATGTTGCCTTTTACCATGTATTATGCTCCACATGAATTATTATTGTTGTTTGGTAAACATCTGATGGTAATGTGTTGCAGTAAAGTAAAATAGCCACTAGAGGGCAGCAGGATTTCACTCAAAAGTTAAAACATTACTATTGTCTCGCCTGAAAAAAAGCATTTGATGTTTTGGAGAATTGTGTTCTTCACCAAATTGATTTTCTAATTTTTGAACTTAAGAGAAAACTTTCATAATTGTTCAAAATAAAAAACAAACAACACTTTATCATTATCATTTATTTGTCATTTCCATAAGTTTAATTTCCCTTGTTAGCCATACATGGAATATTTAGTTATAGTTTGTCAGAAAATTGGTGCAATACACTTTACTGTGCACAGACTTTTATATTCGTTCATGGAAAAACAATATGTTATCTTTAGGAAGTGGCACACAAATGTGCACATAACCTCAAGTATCTGCCTTTAATTCTCAGTTATATTTCTTCTCATACTTTCTATACATTATTTGTATATGCCTTTATGTTTGCCTAATTTGAATAAAACAAATGAATGCCGCGAGCAATGTGTGGAAAAGAAAAAATGGAAATTTTAATTTTGCACAATCTTGGCCCAAGGACGTATATTCTGATTGTTTGTGGTTCACTGCAGGTGCCTTAATTTGTAATTCCTCTCTGAACCACTGGGAGCTGCTATAGCACAAGAATCGTTTTGCAGGGACATGAGTAAAGTAATGTTTCTTTTATGCTGAGTATGTGAGCCCATAACTTTTCAAAGATGTTGTTATAGGGGAAAAAAAAGCTTTTCGATTATCTGTTCATCGGTTCTTCTTTTCTAAGGTGACTTAAAGTGCAGGTATTTCACAGTAATAATAACAAGAACGCAGGGTGAAGTGTGTGCTTTGACAATAACATGGTAAAACAGTATGTGCTGCACAGAAACAGCCGTTCTGCACCGGTTTAGTCGACATTCTGCAGGAGCTGCACACAGTTGTCTTCTTGACAGTGTCTTCTGGACACTGTTCAGTGACAATTCCAGTGACCTGGGCGGCGATGGTGGCGGTGGCCGGGCAACAGTAACGGGGGTGAGAGAGACAGAGGGGACTGTGGGAGAAGGGAGGAGGCGGAGGGGGCGGCAGGGAGACGAGGGGAGGCAGATACTTGGTAACGCGTCACAGCAGGACAGGCAATCGAATCTAAAGGCGCTCAGCCGGCGACGGACACGGACGAGGAAGGTAGGAAAAGATGATAATAAGACCATAGTGTGTTATGAGGTGACGGACAGGACGTCACTGTTGACACTAAGCTTTTTGTTTTAAAATTAAATGTATAATATTTTTCTGCTGTGATGTTTGAGCGTACTTTCCCACCCATGACTTTTACGCATAACTGTTCTCTTCGTTTCACCGCCGTGCCCGAATAACGGATTGTGCCCATCGAGGAGTTGTTTGAGGTTATTAATCGAGTAGCATACTTTTTCTAAAATAATATGGATTTGGTGAGGATTCGTTTGGTCGGTGTGTAAATTGATTAAGAGAAATGATTTAGTTTTCCACCGACTCCACTTCGTTCAAGTTGTACCGTTTCACCTTAACGGTCCATCCCAACTGTTGCTGATGTTGCACCGCGGGTTATTCCATCACAGTGATGAGGCAGTCAGTAAATGTGAGGTAGTGTGCATGCTTTACGCCCGGTGTCAGGTGTACGCTGTTATCGCAGCTCAGGTAGCCCGGTCCACTCCAGAGGTGCCTGCTGGGAAGCGCCTCCGTGCCCACTGATTTATTCATGTGTCACTTGAACGCAGCAGCGACGCAGCAAGAGGTTAAAGGGGCAACAACACTGCGTTTAATAAAATCCTGCTGATAATCAAGCAGCACATTTATCAACGTCTGTCGACTTAATGGTTACTAAAACCGCACACGTGTGCAACTGGAGCAGGAAGGTAAAAAAAAATACAAGTGCAGGTTAGTACTCATATTTTATATTTGTTTATTTTTGTGCTATTTAACATCTTATCATAACAGTTTTTATTATTTAACTGTAACATTTATATTAAAGTTAAAATAAGTTGTAACATTCAAAAGCAATTAAAGAACTGCCGAGGCTGATTGTTAATAGGCAGAAGTCATTCAGTGGGCTAAAAAAGAGTTGGTAAATTACACCACAGTTTTCTCCAGTGTCACAGAGACACTACCTCCTCACACTGGGATTTTTTCCACACTTCCAATTAATATTGCAGCACTCCCTGCAATCCATCCCTGCATCCCTGCCAACTGAGCTACCAGCCATTATAGCCCCTGTATGCTCATGAAAATATGTCCTCAAATGCTGCCCAGATGTGATTTCTGTGGCTCAGACAACCAAGCTATAGGGCTGTTTTTCCCTGGGTGGGGACCATCCAGATGTCAAACAGATTTCTGTCCTATAAGATCAGATCACATCAGAACATCTTATCATATGTAGAACAGCTCCTGTCCTTACCGTGTGCCTGTGTTTTTTGTTTTTGTTTTTTTGTTTCTTGTATTCTTATCTGGACCTTTGGGCCTTTTCTTATGACTTCTTTTCTGTGTATTAATTAAAAAAAACCAAACTGCACAATAATTTTGTCGCTACAGCTAATTTAATCAGTGCAGATGCAGTGTTGATGAACATTTTCAGTCAGTTATTTTGTCTTACTCTACCAGTTGGAGTAAAAACAACTGCTAGCACTGATATTAAATGTTTGCTGTCCGTTTGTTCTAAAACCTGTTGGACGTTCACATCCATCCTCGTCATGTAGCCATGATCACTGACATTTGATGTTTGATGCCACTTTATTTTGTAACTACATTTAATCAAAAAGATTGTGTTCTCATCAGCGAGCAGCTACTGTACAGTACGATCACTAACATGACTCCAGTGCTCTGGGCAGCTGACCGTCAGCTCAGGTCACAACTCCAGAATACTCTGCTGTGTGTGTTACCTCATGCCTCTGTTAGTACTCTTTCTTACAGTAAGAAAAAAGCCAAAAATACAAAAGATAAAGTAAATAATAATACAAAAAAGTTGCAATATTTAACCTAAAAGTGTATCCTCTCCAACAAAACAATTTGTATTTTAAATATATTTAAAATAATATAAAATATAATATATTATATAAAAAAACATGTTTTGTAACACAGATTACATTTCCTTTTAAGAAGAAATGTTAGAATGACTTTTTCCATGACAATTGCTGTCACTTCTCCAATTTAAATGTGAAGTTTTGAACTACTTTATAATCTTCAGCCTCACTCACTCTACCTCCACTCCACCAGTGGGTATTCTGTATATCTCCATGTACTTCTTGCCAAAGTAAATATTTAAAATGTGCGTATTATGCACCATGATTGACTCTGGTGGTAAAATGAGTTACAGGATGAAAAAAATCAATAATTATAAAATATACCTTTATGTGGAAAATGTTGTTTTCTTGGATGATGTGTGGGGAGGGGAAAAACATTCTTTTGACAGTTGCCCTTTCTGAGTGTCAATCTTTCTAAATTCATTCAGAATACAAGAAGGAAGAAAAAAAATAGTGAAACGGAGAGTCCATATCTGACAGACACCTTGACTGACAGGCTCAAATGAAACCCAATATGAGGGATACAGGAAGGAATTGCAATTGCAGATACAGTGGCTATGGGACGATCCTATGAGGTAGCCGACGAGCAGCACAGCGAGGTGTGGGGACAAGAAAAGGTAGAAGCAAAAATGTGGTTAAGAGCGGAGGATGGAAAAGTAGGATAGGGAACAGGAGGCAATGAGGCGAGGCTGGGAGCAGTGGTACAGTCTGATAGTGGGGCAGTTGTTCTGTGTTCATTTGCTCTAAAGCTCAGGGCAGGTGATATTATTAGGACATTATTATTAGTATGTGGATTATGGGGCAGTGTCTCGGCCAAATCCTCATGAGTAGCTGACCATGAATTTATTTTTTATTTAACTTTTATTAGTCTTTGTACATCTTTTTCTGAGTAAGACTCCATCCCCTGAGTGTATTTCATAATATGTCCGAGTCTGCATATATTTCTGGCACTTAACATCAATGTATGTGTTCCTCTTTTCCCGTTTTTTTAAAACCTCTATCCTCTGACAGTGTGGTCATTAAATCAGCGGAGGCGGTTGGGCAGAACTGCAGAAAACAGCCTGGAGAGGCAGGGTCTGGGTGGTGGACTGTTTTGTGTATATGATTGCAATACAGATTAAACGTGTTGTTGTTCATACTGCTGTCTTTTGGGAGGTGTTTGCTGATGAGCAAAGGGCTCGCCTGGCCATTCACACTTCCATTTATAGACGCTGTTTTAAATAAATGGTTGTAAAAACCAGTCATCCACAGTAATCTCGATTTAATCCATTGATACCATTTCTTCTAACTGTGTAAGTGTGAACTCATTATTGAGAAAGACTTAGTAGTTTTGGTAATTGAAATTTCCTGAAGTAACGGTCGGAGCTTTTTATTATTCCAAGTTAGAACTTTAGGGACATACAGTAATCTGAGCCGTATTTATAGTATCAAATCAAACAACTGACAAAAAAAAAACGAACCATGGCACATGACACGCTTAAATACAATTCACTATCAGCTTTGTTGTTTGTTCTTCTCCTTGTTGGTATTTTCACATGGTTGAGTGCACAGAGGTGGAGGATGGAGAAGATAAAAAAAAAGATAAAATAAGGCGGGAGCAGGAGTGGAGGCGGAGGGAGGTGCATTGTTGAGATTCAAAGGTCATCTGTGCTGAAGAGGAGCAACTAAATGGTGTGTTTTGATCTTTAGACTGAGATAGAAGCTGTCAGCTCCTGGTGGCGTGGAATGACTGCGCTCTAACAAAGAGAGACACAGAAGGAGATGAATGACTCCCCACAGCCTATTGGTTGCCTTCTTGACACCGCCGCCTGTGTTTACGTTGTCTGGTACAGTACACTCAGACCTCCGCTGGTAGTGGGTTCGCCACAGTCTTTGAGAAGAAAGCCCTGCTCTGAAACCAGGCATTTGACACTGACATCCACATCCTGGGCACAGGCGCTCAGCTCACACCATGGAATGCTTTGAATTCGTTTACTTGTATAATGTACGAGTGAGAGAGACAGGGAAATAGTGCAGAGAAAATAGTGCTTGGTGCAGAGTGGATGGCAGTATACACATGAAGACGAACTGCGCGCTAATGCTGCGGTAACAATTTAAAGTAGAGAGGGAAACTCATTAATGCTACATCTCATTGTCTCGTGAAATGTGTTAAAGGCTGCGAGGTGGTGAGACAGAGGTGAAGCCAGAGACATTATTCTTCAGGTGAATAAAAATAGAGCAGGGGACATGACAGCACATTGATCTGTGCTGTTTTTATCAGTAGACAGAGGAGAGGAAAAAGTCACAGAGTGTATCATTATGTTTTCACTACAGTTTGTCCACAAAAACCTCTAAAAGCCGAAAATTTGGAGAACTTAGATTGTTCTGTCAGTCACTTTGCACTCAGGCAGAAAGGAGGTTTGAAGGGGCTGCCATTGTTTTCTACACACCTTCGTGATGTACGTCCTTCTGGCTCTTAGCTATATCTTTGTCATTTTTAGAGTTTTAAATTCACTTTTTAATGAATGTAATAGATGTTCATCTCAATTATTGTGGTAGTCTGATAACATTTACATCCACAAGAAACATTAATTAAACATTGATTAAATAATAAAATAAATTGCAATGTTTAAAAAGGACAAAATAATAACGATCATTAGTGAGGATGAAAAAACAATTTTCTTGACAAAATTTGGTTTAATTTTTCATATTAAACACATTTGCCTCAGTTCTTGTAGCAGTCTGCTAAAATTATACTTAGATTAAATATTTCAATGTGATTGCCTTTTATAAGAAATTATACTGCAATTATCTATTAAAAGTACAAGATATGGTGATGCTGATTAACAAGGCAAAAACTGTAACTGTAATAGGACAGGTGTGACAGTTGAAATAGCAGGACACCAGGTTGTGACTTAAAAAGTTAGGCATTATTTGAACCTAAATAATGATGGAGGCCTTTTTAGTGAATACATCTTTTTTTTTACATCCACATTAGAGATCAACCTGTGGTTGAAGTTTTCTACTTGTTTTCTATATTCTTTCAAAACTGTATATGTCCTCCACTGTTCCTCTGAACCTCAACTAATAGAGTACAGTATATGTGGTCAAGTTTGACCTTCAAAAGTGAGAGTGCAAACTCTTTCTTGACTC